ATGCCAATGAGGGATTTGTCACTGTAGCACTGAGAGCCTGACTTGAGGCTGGAACCTACCTCACAGTCCATCTGAAAAATAAAAGAATTAACTGGTTAAGTCCATAGTGCTGAAATTTTTGCCTATGAATGTAGCTTCTCTTCTTTCTATTAAAAATACATGGATGGTTATGGCAGTTGTGTTGCTACATGCCTTTAATTCCAACAGTTGAGATGCACAGGCAGGTGGATCTCTGTGTCCTAAGCCAGCCTAGCCTACATAGCAAGTTTCGAGACAGTCTGGGCTACCTAGTGAGCTTCTGTTTCAAAAGACAAAACAAAACAAAAAAGTTACCCCCAAAGGTGGGGCATGGAGGTACCCTCTTTTACTGTAGCTCCTGGAGGCAGAGTCAGTTGGCACCTGTGAGTTTGAGGCTAGCACAGTTTACAGACATGAGTTCCAGTACTGTCAGGAATACAGAGAGGGACCCAGTTTCAAAGAACATCAAGAAGAAGGAAGTTACCAGAAAAGACATAACACATGAACCCACACATGAGAATAGGTTGTGAGAGTGTCAGTGAAAACATAATACTCAACACGTTTAAAATTTTTGCAGAACCCAAAAACATTTTTGCAGTACCCAAAAAAGCCAAAAGATGGCAGAATATCACCTGGAATTGGAGTTAGGGAGGGTTGGGAGCTACCTTGTGGAATGGAAGCTGGGTCCTCTGCAAGAGCAATCATACAGTGAACATTTTACTAATGTATCCAGTAATGTGTCCAAAGTTGCATCTTTTATACTTTGAATGACAAGTGCCAGAATATCCCAAGTTCAGTGTTCTTTGCACTGTGCATTCAGCAGATGTTACATTTCTAATGGGGGCAGTGCATTCATTAACCACCTGAGGAATTAGTATGTATACATTGTGCACATGCACACTTCAGATATTAATGCTTCCTATCTATGTGGAAACCTGCTGATGTTCAAGTAACAATATTGATACCAGGCTAACATTTTTATTTTAAATATTGTGATAATCCAGTTTTATATGTTTATTTTTTTTTTAAAGATTTATTTATTTATTATGTATACAGCATGTATGACTGCAGGCCAGAAGAGGGCACCAGATCTCGTTACAGATGGTTGTGAGCCACCATGTGGTTGCTGGGAATTGAACTCAGGACCTCTGGAGGAGCAGTCAGTGTTCTTAACCTCTGAGCCATCTCTCCAGCCCCTTATATGCTTATTTTTATTTCAATAGTTATTTGAGAAAATTCTGTTCCTGGAAGGATGTCCAAAGTTTAGCCAGAGGTGAGGGCTGCAAGCCTCATACAGGAGGAATTTGCTCAGACTTAATGGTAAATGTTCACAGAATACATAGACTCCTCTTTTAAATACAGAGAAGGACCAGGCAGACAATTCTGTTGGGATGTTTATAACTAATGTCAATGCAGATCTCTGAAAGCTCAGATCTGCTTTGTTTTGTATTTTATTTAGAAAATAAAAGTGCAGGTAACATAAATGGCTGTTGTTGCTAGGGCACATCACTCAGTAAAGTTAAACACAGATGATGTCTGCATTAGCCCATATTCCAATGGTTCAATAAAATCTCTGGAGATATGGACTATTGAAAGGAGACTTAAAGAAAATGGATGCACAAGTTGGTTTTTACTAAAGAGTAGGCACTTAGAAGGGGAATCTGTTGCAGCCAAAGAGATGAGAAGTTATGTTGTGGGTACAGGAGTTTTCTTTGCTAGGCAAATGGACAAGCAGAGATAACACATTTACTCAGAATCTTTTATTTCTCATCTTATTGAGTCTTAAGGAGAGAAAGGGTAAATCCTGGGCACTGTTTTGAAAGTGAACCGTTAACTCCCCACAGATAAAAAGTTTGTAATGGAGCAGAGACTTAGATCTCTGGCTTTGGGAGGAGGAAATACTCAAGGGCTTCCCCTGTGACTCTGGAGAGTCTCCTTAAAGAGCGCCTGTTGGGGTCCTGGAGAAGTCCCACAAGGACCACCATCCACATATGCAATTGGCAAGAGTATTTTT